ATGCTAATAGAAGTGTGTTCATGTCTCCGAGAGAATGTAGTATCAAGTCAGATGGGACTAAAGCGAAACTCCGAAACACATGCCATCTTAAGTAACCTTTTCTCCCTTTAGTATTTTCCTGATTTTCGCAAGCCGTTACGTCGACGAATGAAGTTTTTAATGGACTTTTTTACACAAAAAATTCAACATATTATTCTTTGGACACCCTTATTTTAGTAAATTCTGAGACTAAGTGCAAAAAGTTTATCTATTTCTCCTTTAAGGCACACATATTTCCGTAATGGCCAAGTCTATCGTCATGATTATGGCTACATGCCTGTTAAGAACGCTACCAGGGCTGATCCACGAATCCACGTTGCTTACCTAACTACATCTAGCGAAGGTAAAGCTCATCGTCATTTTCAGTGTCTTTGTTCTAATGTCCTTAAAGCATATCTCTAGGTTGGTCAATGATGGAACAAGGTCAGGTTAAGGGACCACTTATGTTCTTCCATTTGAAACAGTTTCTGCGAAGGAGTTTCGATGTCGGTGCTAACCGAGCTGATCTGGAGATTCGAGAAGTGCGTCGCGTATTCCTTTAATTTGGAATTATCCGCGTAATACAAGAAATTTCAGTTCGAAAGACAGTTTGAATTGCCCAGCCACAATCAGATGATCATGAAGGTTAGAGCAGAAACAAGTATCGGTTTTGAGGACTATACGGCCTTCTATAAACGAGTAATGGGATGATCTTATGTGTTTGATAGTTCCTGCATTTTTGTAATAAAAATAATAAATCTACGAAACAATGGAAGGCATAAAAAGTGAGCACCCTCAGCGGGAAAATATGGTCCAAATTTTAAAAGAATTACTTACAAGTAGGATAGATATATAGAAAGGTATATAGAAATAGAATATGTAAACAAGAGGAAAATATAACTTTTTTGTCTTTTGTATGAAAAATGAAGAGGACGGTGAAGTTCAAATTATGTTCAACAACAAATTAATAGTATTTATTATTTCGAAGATCATTGGTATTATGTTGTCTGGGAAGCCTTGCAAGATTTTTCCAAATAATCATAGTTTTATTTTATGGCGACAAGTTGAAATGCCTGACATATACAGGTCGTTGAGCACTCAGTCCGTACCGTAGCCAACGGGTGTCCCAAAATTACTGACATTGTTGCGAT